CTCTGTAAATCTTCACCCAAATCCTAATTAAAAAAATAAATAAATAAATAAAAAGAATTCCCAGGTATAGAGTAGAGCTGACAAGGGACGAGGCTGTAGTCACTTCTTGGCCACAGAGAGAGCAAGTAGTTGGACCTGTGGGCTCAGGACCATATTCACAGGGGACATCTACAACATTGTTCCACATCCTACTTTGGTAAGTAGTACCTGGGACCTTAAAAGCTTGGAAGCAGCCATCTAGATTCAACAATGGGTCACTCCTCATCCAGAGCAAAGAATAATGAAGAAAGCCAAAGATTCATGGAAACAATTGGTCCAAGCAACTGGTACACCATGAGATCCTCAGCCTATATGACTATGAGACCAGAAGAACTAGATGGTGCCTGGCTACCACTGTTAACCACTCAGAGGGGGATCTATGTAGGAGATCCTGGATAGAGTGGGAGAACAATGTAGAACAAAACTCAAAATCATTTTTGGGAAAAAAAAAAAGGTGGGGAGGACCATCAGGTTTGCTGGTCTGATTGAGCCTGATGGAACCATTGAGACTATAGCTGCTCTTCAGGTCTGGAATTGAACTCACTCCTGTAGCTTCCAGCCAAACAAAAGGCAGGAGTATGAGGTAAACATTTATACTAGGTAGATACACTCCTTGGAGAGAACAATCATGGGAGAATAGAAGGGCTGTGTATGCACAGGGATATAGCTTAGGGGGCAGGAGTGCATGGAGGGAAGGACACAGGGAAGAGGTAACTATGGAAAGGAAGTGGGAGGGGAGCTGTTGCATTGTGGTAGATTGTAGTCAACGTCATGAGACAAAGTGTATGTGAACTGCTGTATGGAAAGTGAATTTGCTCTGTAAATTTTCACCCAAATCAGAATAAGAAAAAAAAGGGGGGGGGAGCTTGCAAGTGCCCATTTGGATGCCAATGGGTCTCTTCTCATCCAGAACAAAGAAAAATGAAGAAAACCAAAGGTCCATGGAAACAATTAGTCCAAGTGACTGGTATACCATACAGTCCTCAGCCTATATGACTGTGAGACCAGAAGAACTAGATGGTTCCCAGCTAGCATTGTCAACCACTCAGAGGGAAATCTATGTAGGATATCCTAGAGAGAATGTGAGAACAATGTGGAACAAAACTCAATCATTTAAAAAAAACAAAAAAGGGGCCTAGGTTTGCTGGTCTGATAGAACCTGATGGAAGCACTGAGACTATGGCCCCTAGCTGCCCTTCAGGTCTGGAATTGAACCCACTCCTGTGGCTTCCAGCCAAACAAAAGACAGGCATATGAGCTGAACTTTTACATTTTGGTCAGTACACTCCTTGGAGAGAACAATCGTAGGAGAATAGAAGGTCTATGTATGCACAGGGAGACAGCTCGGGGGTCAGCAGTGCATGGGAGGGAAGGACACAGGGTACAGGTAACTAGGGAGGAAGTGAGAGGGGAGCTGTTGCATTGTTGTAAATTGTAGTCAATGTTATGAAACAAAGTGTATGTGAGCTGCTGTGTGGAAAGTGAATTTGCTTTGTACATTTTCACTCAAATCACAATTAAAAAAAAAAAAGTTTTATCTGTGTAGAAGCCAAGAGATGGGTGAATGCAGGGAGGAGTGGGTGTAGGCTCAGGGGAACAGTATATTTTAGGATGAGAGACATTGGAACACCTTTGCAGGCAGATCTGAATGATCTTACAGAGGGAGAAATGGCTGATGCAGGAGAGGGAATAATTAAAGGAGCAAGGTGCTTGAGAAGGTGAGACAGAAGGAAACCAGAGTCCATGTGCAGTGATGGCCTCTGAAAGGGGAAAGGACATTTCAATCGTGGTAATAGAAAGGAAGAAGGAAACCATGGGTAAAAGATTTGCAAGTTTGCTGACTTAGTGATGGGAAAATGATGGCATTTTCTAGGACTTTTCTCCTTGATGCTTTATCTTCTCTTTCACCATGGTCTCTCCCAAAGGTTTTATACATGTCTATAACTACTTGTAAGGAGCTCTGGTGATATAGTGGGTAGGGCATTTGGCTGCTAACCATCAGGTCAGCAGTTCAAACCCACCAGCTGCTCTGTGGAAGGAAGATGGTACAATCTACTTCTGTAAAGATTTACAGCCTAGGAAACCCAAAGGGGTCTCTATGAGTCGGAATTGACTCTATTGCAATGAGTTTGGTTTGGTTTTTGGTTTATAACTACTTGTAAACTCTAATCCCCAAAACCAGTATTTCTCATCCAGATGTCTCTCCCAAGCTTCTGAACACTATACTCACCTGCCCAGTAGCCATCTCCACTTGAGTGTAGAGGTTCAGTGTGTCTAAAATGGAGTTCATCCCAGCCCCACCTTTCTTCTACCTGCTTCCTCTATTGTGGAGAATGGAATCAACCTCAGCCATTTCCCAGGCCAGAATCCTGGCATGGCATCCCAGGCTCCTACCTTCTTCCTTACCTCACACATTGAATCCATCCACCAAATCTGGGGATTAGAACTTTTAAGTTGCTCACCCTTCTGCTCCCTGTCTCTTGACTCTCATTGCCTCTGTGCTGCCACAGGCACCCATCCTCTAGGCTAGACTACTGCTATGGTCTTCTCTCTGGCCTCCCTACTTCTTATCTGGCCTCTCCTCCAGACTTCCCTGCAGACATCTGTAATTCAAAATGAAACTTAATCACAGCGTTCCTAACCCCCACAGTCTTCAGGGGCTCCTCATCCTATCTTATTGTCTTAATAAAATCTTAATGTCTTCTCATGGTAAATATCAATAAGTATTGGTTAAATGAATAAAACAATTTCTTTAGTGGCGTCAGTTTCCATTTTAGAACTAATTTTCACCTTGCACTTAGCACTTTTAGGTTCCTGTTACATTATTTTCTCTAGATTTCCAGATAAAACTGGATCTATGAAACACTTTCTTTTTTTTATATGTTTAAACAGATACAGATATTGTTGTGAAGAGGAAGAAGAGAGGGAGCCCTGCTGTAACACTTCTTATTGGAAAACCTAAAGAGATATCTGTGGATATAATCTTGGCTTTGGAATCCAAAAGCAGCTGGCCTGCTAGCACCCAGGAAGGCCTGCCCATCAATAATTGGCTTGGAGCAAAAGTTAGGAATGAACTGCGACGGCGGCCATATTACCTTGTACCCAAGCATGCAAAGGAAGGAAGTAGTTTTCAAGGTATTTCGAACATAGGAGTTGATATATAAAAGAGGTACTAATGGAGAAATAATTGTTAATGTTATTTACTAAGGCAGTATAAGATGAACAGCCAATTAATGCTGATTGCATTTTAGGAGCCAGCAGGCAAAATAAGCTAAAAGATGGGAGTTTGATGAGAGACGGAATTAAAAAAGGCATGATTGTAGTAATTAATAATATCAAATACTCAGCTTTAAAATGTCTAGTAGCCCACATTTAGTTTTATCTCGTTTTTCATAAAGAAAGTTAGTATTGGCCTTAGAGTCACACTGTCCTGGCTCTGAATCTTAAGTGTCTTCTCTCACTCGTTGTGTAGTTTTGGGCTAGTTACTAAGCCTCTCTAAACCTATTTGCTCATCTATACAGTGCGTTAAGGACCCTGGTGGCTTACTGATTAAGTGCTCAGCAACTGTCGGAAAGGTCGTTGGTTTGAACCCACACAACAGCTCATATGAAAAGACTATATTTGACTTCGTAAAAAACTGCCAAACTGTTCTTCCAAAGTCGCTGTGCCATTTTGCATTCTTACCAGCAATGAATGAGAGTTCCTGGTGGTCTGCATCTTTGCCAGCAATTGGAATTGTCATTTAAAAATATTTTCAGCCTTTCTAATAGGTAAGCAGTATGGCACAAATGGTTAAGTGCTCTACTTTTGGCCAAAAGGTTGGAGGTTTGAACCCACTCAGAGGTGTCTCAGAAGACAGGCCTGATGATCTGCTTCTAAAAGGTCGCAACTTTGAAAATCCGATAGAGCAGTTCTACTCTGCACACACGGGGTCACCATGAGTCTGAATCAAAATCAACTTGAAGGCAACTTACAACAACAACTAAACCAAAACCAAACTCCCTGCTGTTGAGTCGATTCCAACTCATAGCGATCCCTCCTTGGGTTTCCAAGGCGGCATCTCTATGGAAGTAGATTGCCCGGTCTTCCTTCTGAGGAGTGGTTGATGAGTTTGAACCTCCAGCCTTCTGGTTAGCAGTCAAATGCCTTAGGCACTATGCCACCAGAGCTCCTACAACAACAGCAACAGCGGTATCTTACTGTCCTTTTAATTTGTATTTTCCTAATGACAAATGATGTTGAACATCTTTTCATTGGCTTATTTTCATTGTATTGTCTTCTTTGGTCAGGTGTCTCTTAGTAATTAATCATTTTTTAATTGGATTGTTTTATTATTGTTGAGTTGTAATGGTCTTTGCATATTTTAAATATAAATCCTTTATCAGATATGTGTTTTACAGATATTTTATCCCAATCTCTAGCTTCATTCTCTTCATGTTATTCACAGAGCAGAAGTTTATAAATTTAATAAAGCCGAACATCAATTTTTTCTTTCATGGATCATGCTTTTGTTGTTTTATTTTTAGTGTGATTTGATTTGCATTTCTCTATTATGAATGACTTTGAGCATTTTCATGTTTAAGAGCCATTCACATTTCTTTTTCTGTAAAAACAATGTTCACATCTCTTGCCCATTCTTTATAGAGCTGTTGTTCCTTTTTCTTGACTATTTGAAGATATTCTTTTTTCTGTAATAAAAGTTTCAATATTTTTTTCCCATTTGTCATTTTTCTTTTTACATGTGGTACTCCTTTGCCATTTTTATGTAGTTAAATGTATTAGTTGATTCCTTTATTCCTTCTGGGTTCTGAGTCATAATAAAGAAAGCTTTTGTTCACTCCCAGTTCACAGAGGTATTCACCTGTATTTTCTTTTAGGACTTGAAAAGTTTCATTTTTCACATTGACAGCTCTAAACTGTTTATTGTATTTCCTCTAAACTGATGTGTAGTATGGGGAAGAAATCTAGTTTTCACTTTTTCATTGCTGCTCATTTACTGCCAACACCTTATTTAAAAACTCCATCTTTAAGTCAGTCTTTTCCCCAGTGATTTGATATACCACAAACTTTTTTTTTTAATCTTGAGCCCACCCCCCACCAAAAAAATCTTGAGCTTAGTATTTTCAAATCCTTACATTGTTGTTGTTATTGTTATGTGCTATCAAGTCAGACCTGCCTCATAATGACCCCTCCTTGGGTTTCTAAGGCAGTATCACTACCGAAGAATATTGCCCAACCTTCCTTCTGAAGAGTGGCTGGTGGGTTTGAACCACCAGCCTTCTGGTTAGCAGTCAAGTGCCTTAGGCATTATGCTACATTAGGGACTGGCAAAGTTTTTCTGTGTAAGACCAGTTAATAAATATTTTAGGCTTAGTGGTTCAAATCATCTCTGTTCCAACTCTTTCACTTTTCCATTGCATCACAAAAGCAGCTAGATAATATGTAAATGAATGTGACTATATTCCTATAAAACTTTGTTTACCAGACAAGTGGAGGGTTGAATTTAGCCTATGGGCTGGATTTGATTCCTCTTCCAGTTGTATGTGTGGCACATGACATAGTCCAGTTCTTAAATCTTTTCCTTTATAATTAGTGCTTTTAGTCTCCCATTTTAAATATTTTGCCCTACTCCTAGGTTATGACAAATATTTTTCTATGTTATCTTCTACAAACTTCATTATTTTACCTTTCACATTTATATTTGTAATCCACCTGGAATTGATTTTTATTTTAGTTTTAATATAGTACTTTTCGTGTCCTGTTTGAGAAATTTTTCTCCACTTTGAGGTCATAAAGATATTCTCCTACTTTTTTTTTAACCTACCATGGTTTGGTTAGGTTTTTTTTTTTCACCAGAGTTAGGTAAGTAATCCATCAGGAACTGATTTTATGTATTGTGTGAGGTAGCAGTTAAATGTTTTTAAAAGTTGGTTTAGCATAATTTATTGAAAAAGTCTATCACTTTGCCACTTTTTTCATATACTTATTGCCCATAAATTGTGTGGCTATTCTTGCACCCTTTGTTCTTTCCTCATTAATCTCTTTGTCCATCCTTGCACTAATACCATATTGCCATATACAATGTATGTTTATAATAAGTTCTCCATATTTTTCCTTCTTCAAGAGTATTTTCAATATTTCTGACCCCTGTGCATGTTTTTATAACTTTTGGAATCAGCTTTTCAAGTTCTGCAAAAACATTTTTTGGGATTTTGATTGAAATTATATTGAATCTATAGATAAATTCAGGGAGACAACATATTAATAATTTTGAGTCTTCCAATCTGTGTAGAGATGTACATCTCCATTTACTTATTTTATTTATGCTTCTCAGTGAAGTTTTAGAGTTTTTTCAACAGAGGTTTTGTAAAATTTACTTATAAGCAATTAGTATATTTTAAAACTTCATTATGGAATATTGTAAACCAGTATAAAGACTAAAGAATATAAGCACCCAAAGAACAATTAAAAAACAAAAAAAAAAAGAGTATCTTGAATTCCCATGTATCCATCACCCAGCTTCAGTACTCATTGACTCATTGCTAATCTTGATTTATCTACATCCCTTCATTGTTTTGAGGAAATACAAGACATATCATTTCATCTGAATATCTTTCACTGTGTATCTCTGGGAGCTCTGGTAGCACAATGCCTAAGGCATTTGACTGCTAACCAGAAGGCTGGTGGTTCAAATCCACCAGCCACTCCTCGAAAGGAAGACTGGGCAATCTACTTCCGTAGAGATACCACCTCAGAAACCCTCATAGTGGAGGGGTTGCTATGAGTCAGAACTGACTTGACAGCAGTGAGTTTGGTTTGGTATATATGTCTACAAATAAGTATTTACAAAACCAAATAATAGTTATCATACCCCAAAATGAATAGTAATACCCTAATATTAACACAGAAGTCTCTGTGTGGTGTAAATGGTTAAGCACTGGACTATTAACTGAAAGACTGGCAATTGAAACCCACCCAGAGGCACCATGGAAGTTAGGCCTAGTGACCTTCTTCCAAAAGGTCACAGCTTTGAAGACCCAATGGAGGGCAGTTTTACTCTGCACATACAGGATCACCATGAGTCAGAATCTACTTGATGCCACCTAACAACGACTCACTCACTCGTTGCCATCAAGTCAATTCCAAATCATAGTGACCCTCATTGGGTTTCTGAGGCAGTAGATATTTACAGAAGTAGATAGGCCCATCTTCCTTCTGTGGAGCAGCTGGTGGGTTTGAACCGCCAACCTCCTGGTTAGCAGTCAAATGCCTTAAGCACTACACCACCAGAGCTCCTTCTAACAACAGCAGTCAGTATTTAAATTTCCACTTGTCTTGTGTCATGCTTTTTTCTTTTTCAGTTTGCCTGTTTGAAACAGAATCCAACCAAGGTCACAAACTGATTGGTTAAAATGTCTGTTAAATCCCTTTTAACATAACTTCCCCTCCTTCATCTCCACCCCACCCCCGCTTTGCAGCTTTGCAACCTGTTCTTGAAGAAACAGGTCACTTGGGCTGGAGGGTTTCCCACAGAGAAGATTTTGCAGACTTCACTCCAGTATTGTCATTTAACATGTTTCTCTTTCCTCTGTATTTCATTGGCAGTTAAAACTTATAGGTAATTGATATTTTTTATGCTATTATAAATCGTATTGTCTTTAAATTTTTCATTTTTCTTTGTTGCTGTATATCCAAATACATTTGAATTTTGTACCAAACTAAACTCCAGACTCTGCCATCAAGTCGATTCTGACTCATAGCAACCCCCTTTGGGTTTCCAAGGCAGTAAAATCTTTACAGAAGTAGATTGCCCAGTCTTCCTTCTGCAGAGTGGCTGATAGGTTCAAACAGCCAGCCTTCTGGTTAGCAGTCAGTTGCCTTAGGCACTAGGACACCAGAGTTCCTTGTATTATAAATGGTATCATCTTTAAATTTTTAAGTTTTCTTTGTTGCCAGTATATCAAAATAAATTAGAATATCATAGCTACAGCTTTGGTAAATCTTAATAAATTCTATTTATTTGTAGATTCTTTTGTATTTTCTGTGTACACAATTATATCATCTATAGCCCTGGTGGCACAGTGGGTAAGTGCTCAGCTGCTAACTAAAAGATCAGCAGTTCAAAACCACTAGTTATTTATTTTAAAATAAATTATAACTTATTTTGTATTAATCCTAACACTTGCAAGGATGTTATAGAAACAAAAGATTTGAAAACTGAATTTAGCACTATATAAAAGGTAATCCATTTTACCATGACTATTTTATGCTCTCAACCCTCCCCTCAACCATTTTTCCCATCTCAGCCCATTGTTTGCTTCAAAGCACTTAATATGCAATGTACGTTATTTATTCACTTCTTTTCTACTATCTCTCCCCTAGAATCTTTTCAAAATGATATTTTAATGACAAGAATAGCTTAAATATTGTTTTGTATAGATATGGGTAATATTAGTAAAGTATTTTTCTATTTTTCTTTTCAAAATTAAGAAGAAACATGGCGGCTATCTTTTTCTCATATTGAAAAGGACATTTTGAAAAGTCATGGGCAAACTAAAACATGCTGTGAAAATGGTGGCGTGAAATGTTGCAGGTAACTTTCTTATTTTGTTAAAGGTCAGATTATCTGTGGAATGCTTAATTCTTTTTTGACCAGATAGTTCATGGATAGCTCAAACCTAATGATAACCAGTGCTGGGTTGGGCCCCAGGGGCAGGCCAAGGCTGGGCTGGTCTAGAGAGGGTAAGCTTTAAGCCAAAGTCATCATATCCAAGGGTGTGGTTAGAAGGCAAGGCCTGGATCACATGGATTTCTATGGTGGGATAGAGTGAAAGACTAGAACACTGGCTGGAGCAGTGTGATGTGTGTCATTAGTCTGGTTGCTTAAAGGTATTGTATATTAATATCAGGTAACGAGAGGAGGCCAAAGGGTCTAATTGGATCCTTTCTTTGGGATGGTTTGGCCGTGTTGAAGGCCAGTGACTGACTGGCCAAACTTGAAATAACACTAAGAGATGGGTAATTATTTTTCTTGATAGTATATACATTATAAAGAACTGATTTTCAAAACAAGTTGTTCTGTTCATTTGAGTTTCTCTCACAGACCAACATAAAAGTCACAGAAGTTAAAAGGTCAAAACAAGGATGCCCAGTATGTAGGCACAGGAAGTTCATTAATGTTTATATGCAGGCATTGAAGAAAATTGGATTCCTAGTAAGACTAATTTTTTATTAACCTTAAATTTTGTCAATTATTAAATAACTGAATGGATAATGTAAATACAGTCAGCCCTCTGTATCCGAGGGTTCTACATCCAGGAATTCAGCCAGCTGGGGATTGAAAATATTTTTTTAAAAAAAGCAATCAAATGGTCAAAGCACTCCCTTAAAGGCTAAGAGGGAACAAAAAGTACTGTTTACATAGTATTTGCATTGTATTAGGTATTATTATAAGTAATCTAGAGATAATTTAAAGTATAGGGAAGGATGTACACAGATTATATGCAAGTAGATAAGGGACTTGAGCATCTGTGGATTTTGGTGTCTGCTGGGGGAAAGGTGGTCCTGAACCAGTCCCATGCTGATACTGAGGGATGATGGGATTTGCAGTCCAATAAAGCAAAATTGTTTTCTAAAAATTGAAATAAGATCTTTCTAACCACTGAATAGCTGGGTGAATAATGTAAAATTGATTTTAATATAAAAAAATATTTTCAAAAGATCAATTTCATGTAGTTGAATTAATTGTGGTAGAAGCTGGAAATAGTATGAGGGAAAAAAAGATTTTTTGTTTTTGAAACTTCAAACCATATATTTTTAAAAAAATCAGGTTTTGGTATGACTTTATATTATTTATATATCTTTATTGTTTTAATATGTTTTTCCTGTGAGATGTCTAAAATCCTTTCCAAAATGGGATAAGTTTTAAATAAGTAAAAATAAATGTGTGTTTTCTTTTTTTAAAATCAACAGGAAAGAGTGTTTAAAACTGATGAAGTATCTTTTAGAACAGTTGAAAAAAAAGTTTGAAAACCGAAAAGAACTGGACAAATTCTGTTCTTACCATGTGAAAACTGCCTTCTTTCACATATGTACCCGAGACCCACAAGACAGTCAGTGGCACTCCAAAGACCTGGTCCACTGCTTCAATAACTGTGTGACATACTTTCTTGATTGCCTCAGGACAGAGCAACTGAAGCATTATTTTATTCCTGGATTCAATCTATTCTCTCCAGACCTAATTGAGAAAATAAATAAAGATTTTCTGTCAAGGCAAATTGAATATGAAAGAAACAATGGATTTCCAATTTTTGGTGAATTTTGAAATTACATTTTAAGAAAAAAAATCTAGAATTAGAGTGACTTTCTAATAATTAGAATGTTTTAAATTTGTCACTGCTCTCAGTTTTTCTTAGTAAAATATAACATGATTGATTATGTGAGGAAAGAGATTTGTCAGGGAATAAGCAGCAAAAACTCTCACTGCCATTGAGTCAATTCCCACTCCCGGCGACCTCACGCGTTACAGAGTAGAACTACACCATAGAGTTTTCTTGGCTAGAACCTTTACTAAAGATGTTCGCCAGCCTTTCTTCTGCAGAGCGACTGGGAGGATTGCAGCTGATTGCAAACTGCTTGCACCACCTAGCAACCTTTAAGAAGCAAAAGGAGTATTTAAAATCCAAAAATTGTGCCAAATTGGAATGAAAAAAGAGGCAAAATATGTATCAGTTTAATTAAATTCATCAAACCTTGTTGAACACCAATTCTTCACCTTGCAGAGGTATGTAGAAGTTTGTAAGGGACAATATTAGTAGTGCTCATTGCCTCCATAAAACCTGTAGGCTTTGCTGAACATACAAATATATTTGGAAACAATGTCCCATCCTAGATGCTAGGATAGATAAGAAATGAAAAAATAACTTCTACGTTGTCTCTGCTCTCAAGAAACACATAATTTTCTAAGAAATAGTTACAGTCAAGATAATCAAATGACATATTGCACTAGGCAAATCTGCTGCAAAAAATCTCCTTAAAGAGCAAAGATGTCACTTTGAAGACCAACGTGCACCTGACCCTCTCAAGCCATGGTATTTTAAATTGCCTCATAATGCATGTAAAAGCTGGCCAGTGAATAAGGAAGACTGAAGAAGAGTTGATGCATTTGAATTATGGTGTTGGTGAAGAATATTGAATACACTATGGATGGCTAGAAGAATGAGCAGATCTGTCTTGGAAGATTATAGCTGGATGCTCCTTAGAAGCAAGGATGGCGAGACTTTGTCTCTCGTACTTTGGTCATGCTATCAGGAAGGACCATTTCCTGCAGAAGGATATGCTTGGTAAAGTAGAGTCAGTTTAAAAGAGGGAGACCCTCCACGAGATGGATGGACACAGTGGCTGCAACAGTGGGCTCAAGTATAGCAACACTGTGAGAACAGCACAGGACTGGGAAGCATTTTATTCTGTTGTACGCAGGGTCGCTGTGAGTCATCAACAACATGTTGTTGTTGTTGTTTGCCGTCGAGTTGGCCCCAACTCATAGCGACCCCTCCTTGGGTTTCCGAGGCAGTATC